GGACAGATATTTTGTGTGACGGGGGTGCAGTGGCTCTCAAGTTGTTCCCAGTGGCATTAGAACAAGAAGGGAAGTAACCCCAAATAAGAACTTGTTACCTAAAGTCCTAATGGAAGGAGATTCCCCTTCCAAACAATAGTGTACACCTTCCTCCTATCTCCTCCTCCTGTCTTCCATCCACGCAGAAGTCTTCAGTAAAAGTAAGTGTAATGTTATTATTATTTTTTTAAATGCATGTACTTGATTTCTGATAGTTTTCATTATGTAAATCTTTATTTAATTTGAAAAAAAAATATTTTATTTTAAGATTTTTGGGTGTCTGGAACGGAATTTTATTTCCATTATTTCTTATGGGGAAAATGGTTTCGAGTTTCGTGAATTTTGACCTTCGGTGGGCTCTCTGGAATGGATTAATCACGAAACTCGGGGGTCCACTGTACTTTTCATTGAGAAACCAATCAAAATCATCTCAATTTCCATGATATGCCTTCCATTCTATAAAATGAGACCAGGAAAACTAGAATACAACCATAAATAGGATACGAAAATACACTGCAAAGTCGCTGTTTTAAACCACAAACACAGTCGGAGTTTTTTTTTCTCATTATGCACTGTGTGCTGCAGGATTTTTTTTATACCGTGCACACTGACCACATAAACCCATTCTTTCATATGTAGGCCTACCAGCTTTCTCTAGCTAGATTTGAAGGTGCTAGAATTTATGCATACTAGTACGGCACCAACCCTGAAAGGGTTAATGGGCATGGTGTTGTAGTGTGGGAAGAATAACCTTAATTGAGGAATTCAGGGAAACCGACTAGGTGGACTGAGTCCTATACGTGGGAAAGGCAGTGCCTGCACTCTAATGGACAGTTAGAGATGTTGCAGCCAGAAGGGTAATCTAATTGTGAAATCAGCATACCTCTAGAAAGATGGTAACTGAGTTAATATTGGTGAATGCCTTTTCTCCTTTGGGTCACCCTACCTTGGCAGGAAATGGCCACTGAGTTTAAAAAAGTATAACTACATAATGCCTACCTATTAACCCTTTGTGGGTTGACAGGTCCTCTCAGGGTCAGCCAAAATTAAAAAAAAAAAAAAAAAAAAAAAAAAAAAAAAATCATATGAAAAGATAGAGAATCTTTTCCCGATCATAATGACACCAAAAGTATGAAATTTGATGGAAAACTTTCGGAATTATGCTCTCGCGAAGTTAGCAGTCTTAACGATGTTTAAGCATCGGCAATTTTGCCCACCTTGAGCCCTATTTTGGGCCAATTTCAGTGTACTAGTCGACAAAAATCATAACTTTTTGCTAAAACTCCATTTTTTCTATCAAATGAGTACAAGAAACCACCCATTTACCAATTTCAATTATCCAATAAAGTGGTCAGAATTTAGCAATTTTGCCAATTTCACACAAATTTCAAAAGATGCCAATTTCCAAATAGGGTCCAGAATAAACAAGAAAGACATTCCTGGCACTAAAATAACAAGTTCTCTGTTTGTTAGTCACATCCCCAGGCCCCTCTTATATTTGTTTGGCTTTCCATTTTGAATTTTTATTCTTACAAAAAAAAAAATAAGATTTACTGTTATGCAGACTACTGCATTAGTGTAGAAATGGTATAAATAATATCAGCACACTTGTGAAAGAATATTAGACTCACCAGTTGATGTGCATTGGTTGCTTGGCATGATTTGTTTACTTTTGAACTTTGGTAAAAATAGAACATTTCTGCTACTTTGAGCTCAATTTCAAGATACTTTTCATTGTAAAACCAGTCAAAATCATCTAAATTTCTGTAATATGTCTTTCATTCTATAAAATGAGACCAAGAAATCTAGAATTTAACACTAAGTACCATACAAAAATACAGTGCAAAGTCGCTGTTTTAATCCAAAAACAAGGTCAAAGTTTTTTTTTCTCATTATGCACTGTGTGCTGCAGGATTTTTTTTATACTGCACACACTAACCACATAGACCCATTCTTACATATGTAGGCCTACCAGCTTTCTCTCACTAGATTTGAGGGCGCTAGAATTTAGGCGTACTAGTACGTCAAAAACCCCGGGTCGTAACACGTACTACTACGTCTGAAACCCCAAAGGGTTAATTAAAAAAAAAAAAAAAACTCATTCTTAGAGTGTCTCTCAAAAGTGATGTTGCAAAATTTGGAAAATGTTAAATGCAGCCTGAATATATTTGTATCACTAATGAAAGGGTTACTATCCTGAATGCAATTTTATGGTGTGCTGAACTTAAGAAATATTCATCTTGATGAATTGGCAATGGCCAAAAACAAATTTTCTGAATGAGAAACCACAGGTTTAGATGTTCGGACCATCTAAAAATGCTCATTAAAAGAAAATTTATGGCCAAAAGTAATATATACCTCTTTTCATGGTGGCCATCTAGGATTTCTGAGAATTCTGCAAAATGCTCAAATGTGCCATGGTGGCATTCATTAGATCCTGTATCAGGGACCCTTAAGGATAATAAATCTGCAAAAAAGCACTGTACAATCTACACTGCCAGGGTTTACAAATTAACTAATGTGGTGGCTGATGGACTACAAAGTGATCTTGCCTTTCTCCAATATACATGCATACTGACAGAATGACATAGTCCAGCCATGTCTGTACCAGGAAGTCTTCATTTTGTATGAGAAAGCTGTCCTGAGTGAGCATGGCAGCATCAACTATGAGTAAATTCTTTTTCTGACAAAGCAGTATTTTTATAATAAATGACTGAGCCATGGGGAGAGTACTGAAGTCAGCTAAAATAGCGTGTGAGTATTAGCTTCCTCATCGTCAACCAATAATGAGACAATAAATGGAATTTAAATAACATTTGAAGGTCAAACCAGAAGACCCAGTTTCCTTTCACACAGTGTGTACTGGAAGATTAAAAATATGTATTCAAAGCCACTTAATTTTTATGCTTTACTATAGAGTCATTAACTAATTACATATAAACTATGTACAAAATATTTCTGAAAAACTAATTTCTAATTCTACTCTCAATGTCACAGCACCAGATGATGGTTTGTTGGTCTTTGATCTACACTTGTAACTAAGACTTGTGGCAACCTAGGCAAACAAGTTAATATCATACACCCCCTGCACCATATAGTCTTCTTTACTAGGAAAAATGCTAATATAAAAAACTAAATAAATATTATTAATAATGCAAGGCTAGCAGAATATCTCTATCTGCAGAATGTAAATTTTCTCTCAGGTGTTTGAACATGCATATGGGTGCATCTGAAGTGCACAAATATAGGACCTACTTGAAATTACCTACATCTCCTTTTACTTTGCACTTCTTCAAGGACAAGACAATATACAGTTCATACAGCCTTTCCTCAAAGCTCATTCCTATCAGATCTAGTATCAGTTTGGATGCATACCTATGAACATCTTCAAATTTTGCAGTTTGGAAAGATGTCTTGAACCAGATTTTATTCATATTTCTAAATGCTATTTTTTGTTTGTTGGTCAATTTAACATTTGCCATTGCTGTTATTCTTTTTTGTGTGTTAATTAAAAGACAGGTTTGGAATAATAATTTTTATTAGGTTGTTTTCTTTAACCAACTCAAAAGCTATAATCCTTCTAAGTGGTACTGTGTTCTACTCTGTTCTCAAGTATCCTTTTCTTAGTGTACAATTTCATCACTAAAGTGCTTGCAGGCATTAAGCACTAACAGCCACTATTTGACCCATTTTGCAGCCTAGGTTATTTTAAGAATACCTGCTGTCACTTCTGCTAGTATTTTGACATTATTTATGAACATAGGTATGTAGCAGTCTAACTGCTTTGACAAGTTAGAAAGCACTAGGAACAGTATATAGCTTAGTAATGATTGTTGAAGAACCTTGCTACAGCAAACCATCCTCACACTGTATCCCTCAATGTATTTTACATGTCACCCCAGTTTGAGTCTACAGCTAAAATACTAGTCTGGTATGGTACTATAAAAATCTTCCTTGCCATCTATGAAGATTTAGCCCACTCATATTTTCCCTTCCTGCCCTGATCCTTGTAAGCCAGTTGAAGACTTATATAGTATAAGGTTTGGGTGACACAACTTCTATTGCTGGTGCTGTGCTAGTTAATTTCCCTACACGTTTCACCAGTATTTTAATTAATAATCTTTCCATTACTATACATGAAATACTATATTTGTAGGGGACATTACTCTTTAATTTCCTAAATATGATTATGAAATGGTAGTTAGAAATACATAAATTAAATATCAAAAGAAAAAATCATCAAAATCCATTTAATACTTGCATACTTTTGCCTCTATTTCCTATAACTCACATCAAAATGTTTTAAAAACTGCTAGTTATAAATTCTTCATTATTAATGTAGATCATTAGACAACATTTTCAAGGAGAAAGGAAACTATTTCTTCTTTATTCTGAAACATAATGATAATCTAAACCACTATCTTCTCAGTGCTGCTTTAAATTCTGCAAAACTCAGTAGGCAAAGAAAATGTAAGGATTCACCTGCTTTATTTGTGAAAAATACAAGACAATTATAATTAAAGGGCAATGGTGACAACAATGCAGGCTCTGTGGAAACTGAGCTTTATCCATCAATTAGGAAAGAAAAAAAAAAAGATAAATTTTCCACCAGAGACTAGAAGGATCAATAAATAACACAATTTTCTAAATCAAACTTGTGTATGAACCAGGATGGTACAAGAACAACTAATCATGATAAATCTCATGAATATAAAATGCACCTTTTCTTTTTCAACTGTCCTCACCAAAGGACAGTTCATTAGGATGACCATTCAATGTGATTTCTACTTTCACATTTCTGTGCATCAGAAAAAATTAACAGTTGGATGAACACAAGATTCAATCACTGTACTGTAAATCCCATATCTTCTATTTTTAATTATCTGAAGTTCAATATATCTTTTATACACTAAAAGAATAAAATAAAGTTTTAATATTTGGAAATACTGGGGCAAACATACCTGTCTGACCGCTTCATTTGCAGCTGACCGAGTAGTAAAAGTAATGAAGGCATAACCTCTATTTTGACCTGTCATTGGGTCCATCATAAGGCGTAAATCCCATATTTCCCCACATTTTTCAAAAAGAGGAATCAACTCATCCTCATAAAGTTCTTTAGGGATTTTTCCACAAAAAACCTGCAATAAAAAAAGTCCTAAGTAAGAAATTTTAAACAAAATTTAAATAAAATCAATTACTCTCACTTATCAGTTAAAGCAAATCATTATTAATACCATAAACTTCTACACGATGCACACTTGCAGTTGCATTTTTTTTCTCTCAGAGCAATCACATTAAGCAAATATCTATTCTGAGCAAAAACTTATTAGAATGCCCCAAAGAGTGCTACCACTAAACCAGACTCTTAAAGGTCCCATTTTAAATGTCATTAGTGTTGTCACAGAGTACTTCTCTAAGCTAACACCACTTATTCTATGGCTGTTGGAAAAGCTGCTTCACTACTACCACTGCCAGTGCCAAAGTATCAACAGCATCACCACTAGTACCAATCTCAGCTTCAAAGCAGCAAGAACAGTAGCCACAGTAGCAAAAGCAGCATCAACAATAGACTCCTTACACACACTGCCCATATTCCTCTAACAGTCTTCTTCAATAATAGCAACATAGCAAAAACATTGCCCACTACAAGAGCAGTGCTAAATAAACTGTAGAGTGAAGGAGGAGAAAAGGGAGACAGTGAAGAAGCCAATAATAGTTTAACCTCATTCTCTGCTCCAATATCTGGAGATAAAAATGGGAGTGCAAGGAGACACTGACAGCTGAACCTAACTTCTATTACAACACAGGAACATCTAAGGCACATGCCCACTCATTCACAGCTGCTCAGAGAATCACATACAATTTATCCATTATTTTGGTATAAACCTTGGTAATAAATACCGACAAGTTGGTTTAGAAAGACACGTAAGCAAATGCTATGACATATTTATTAGAAAACCGTTTCGGTCCTGGGATCTTCATCACTTCTAATATACAGAGGTAGAAAGACATATTATATATAGGTAGGAGCTTAAGAAGCCTCACTAATCGCCGTCACCGACACTATAGAACGTAACACTGGAAACTACAAAATTTCAAAAACATTGGCATACATGATACTTAAGCACCGCCAACCCAACAACATAGGAGTTACGTGATTTCATCGTCTACCCGTCCTCATCCCAACATGACATTCTTCAGGTCACCGTGCGTCACTCACACCTCACTCTCCGCCTATATATAATGTCTTTCTATCTCTGTATGTTAGAAGTGATCAAGGTCCCAGAACCGAAACGTTTTCAAATAAATATGTCAGTGTTTGCTTACGTGTCTTTCTAAACCAACCCATTATTTTGTTCACTAACAAGATGGAATGCATAACTGGGTGACTGTACTGTGGCAGTGACTTTCAGCTACATAGCTTGCACAGTATCCTACTCCAACACATTTCAAAATTATCCACCAAGTTGTTTGTCACATACAGTACGTCCACATGATACTGTATATAGCTCATATTTCCTAGTACCCTCAAATTTACCAGCAGTAACAAATGTGACCCTATGGACATGAGAGAATGAGTCTGCACAGTATAGAAAAATCCTGCCACATGTAGTGAATGATGAGAACAGCTAAAATAGCAAGTTAAAATGGCAAGTCTAGAAAATTTTCATGAGTGGCTGTCATGATTTTGTTGGCTGTTTCTTGGTGCTAATTGATAGGCCAAAAGACATACTAGAGAAATTAAAAAGTTTTGGGTTGGGTGAAGAGTGAAAAAGGCCTAGAATAGGCATAAAATGGGTGATGCCTAGTGAAAGGATAGGGGAGGGGGTCATCCTCCCATTTCGTCTCAAAACTCCAGCCCGTCGCGTTAGCCACTAGACCAGCTAGCTGGTCTAGTGGCTAACGCGACGGGCTGGAGTTTTGAGACTCTATGACCGCGGGTTCAATCCCGGCCGGGGGTATGGTTTATCCTCCCATTTGTTTCAAAGTTTTCTTTTTACTAAATCAGCTTCAATTATTGGGGCAACCTAAATCATGACTGAGCATTCTTGGCTATGGATTATTTGCAAAGAAATAAAGGAAAAATGTTGACTTTTTGTGTGATGATGGATTCAAAATGGAAGGAAAGCATTATCAAGAAGCCTGGAGATGTGATTAACGAACAGAAAGGCTTCTTTAGTGATGGGAAAACCTAGAGTAATTGTCTTGAACTTTTCTTTACTAGTAAAATAGCCAGGAATTGGGTCAGTTTGAGTACTGGAACAAGCCTGAAATTATGCAAAATCGCAGTCGAGCAAAGTGCTCAACGACATTCAAATTCGTGTTTCCATAATTCCGTCAATCACCAACCACTCATCTTCCTCCCAGCACCCACCCTCCTATTATAACAACTTTTGCTGCATAGTCTAACACTGCATTCTTAAATCTTCCCCATAACTTCAACCTCATTACCTATTCTCTCACAAGCTCATCTTTCTACCAATAATTACTCATACCTTACCCTAACTACATCTTCCTCTAGTTTATAGACATTCACCTTTCTCTCTCTTACTCGCTCTTGCTATTTTCCTTGTCCCCCATCTACTTCCTACTCTCACTGAGGCTACAAGTAATGATCTGATGTACCTGTTGCTCCTCTATAAACATGCACATCCATAAGTCTACCCATCAACCTTTTATCCACCAACACATAGTCCAACAAAGTATTGTCCATATGTTCTATGTAATATCTCGTATACTTATTTATCCTCTTTCTTTAAAATTATGGATTAGCTATTAATAAAGCTCTTTCTACACAAAGTTCCACCAACAGCCTCCCATTATCATTTACCCAACACCCGAATCTTACCTACTACGCCCCCTACAACAGATTATCCCACTTTTGCATTTAAGTCCCCATTTACCCAACACCCGAATCTTACCTACTACGCCCCCTACAACAGATTATCCCACTTTTGCATTTAAGTCCCCACCACAATTCCTCTCTCACTTGGTTCAACACTCCTTAAACACATGCTTAACATCTCCCAAAATCTCTGTTTCCATCACACTCCTCTTCTCCAGGTGCATAAACATTTAGTGTAACCCACTTTTTGCATCCAAACCTTACACCTTTACTGAGTTTTGAGAATTTTTCTACTCCTAGAGCCCAGCCATAGGCCAGGCTTGTTATTAGTTATTTTAATCCACATTTACTCAAGGTAGTAGGTTGGTAGACAGCAACCACCCAGGGAAGTACTACCGTCCTGCCAAATGACTGTGAAACAAAAACCTGTAACTGTTTTGCATGATGGTAGGATTGCTGGTTTCTTTTTCTGTCTCATAAACACGCTAGATAACAGGGATATCTTGCTTCTCCTACTTACACTTTGGTCACACTTCACAGACACGCACATGCATATATATATACATACATCTAGGTTTTTCTCCTTTTTCTAAATAGCTCTTGTTCTTTTTTATTTCTTCTATTGTCCATGGGGAAGTGGAAAAGAATCTTTCCTCCGTAAGCCATGCGTGTCGTATGAGGCGACTAAAATGCCGGGAGCAATGGGCTAGTAACCCCTTCTCCTGTATACATTTACTAAAAAAGAGAAGAAGAAAAACTTTATAAAACTGGATGCTTAAGTGTGCGTGGATGTAGTGCGGATGACAAGAAACAGATGATTGCTGATGTTATGAATGAAAAGAAGTTGGATGTCCTGGCTCTAAGCGAAACAAAGCTGAAGGGGTAGGAGAGTTTCAGTGGGGGGAAATAAATGGGATTAAATCTGGAGTATCTGAGAGAGTTAGAGCAAAGGAAGGTGTAGCAGTAATGTTAAATGATCAGTTATGGAAGGAGAAAGAGAATATGAATGTGTAAATTCAAGAATTATGTGGATTAAAGTAAAGGTTGGATGCGAGAAGTGGGTCATAAAAAAGCGTGTATGCACCTGGAGAAGAGAGGAATGCAGAGGAGAGAGAGAGTTTTTGGGAGATGTTAAGTGAATGTATAGGAGCCTTTGAACCAAGTGAGAGAGTAATTGTGGTAGGGGACCTGAATGCTAAAGTAGGAGAAACTTTTAGAGAGGGTGTGGTAGGTAAGTTTGGGGTGCCAGGTGTAAATGATAATGGGAGCCCTTTGATTGAACTTTGTATAGAAAGGGTTTAGTTATAGGTAATACATATTTTAAGAAAAAGAGGATAAATAAGTATACACGATATGATGTAGGGCGAAATGACAGTAGTTTGTTGGATTATGTATTGGTAGATAAAAGACTGTTGAGTAGACTTCAGGATGTACATGTTTATAGAGGGCCACAGATATATCAGATCACTTTCTAGTTGTAGCTACACTGAGAGTAAAAGGTAGATGGGATACAAGGAGAATAGAAGCATCAGGGAAGAGAGAGGTGAAGGTTTATAAACTAAAGAGGAGGCAGTTAGGGTAAGATATAAACAGCTATTGGAGGATAGATGGGGTAATGAGAGCATAGGCAATGGGGTCGAAGAGGTATGGGGTAGGTTTAAAAATGTAGTGTTAGAGTGTTCAGCAGAAGTTTGTGGTTACAGGAAAGTGGGTGCAGGAGGGAAGAGGAGCGATTGGTGGAATGATGATGTAAAGAGAGTAGTAAGGGAGAAAAAGTTAGCATATGAAAAGTTTTTACAAAGTAGAAGTGATGCAAGGAGGGAAGAGTATATGGAGAAAAAGAGAGAGGTTAAGAGAGTGGTGAAGCAATGTAAAAAGAGAGCAAATGAGAGAGTGGGTGAGATGTTATCAACAAATTTTGTTGAAAATAAGAAAAAGTTTTGGAGTGAGATTAAAGAGTTAAGAAAGCCTAGAGAACAAATGGATTTGTCCGTTAAAAATAGGAGAGGAGAGTTATTAAATGGAGAGTTAGAGGTATTGGGAAGATGGAGGAATATTTTGAGGAATTGTTAAATGTTGATGAAGATAGGGAAGCTGTGATTTCGTGTATAGGGCAAGGAGGAATAACATCTTGTAGGAGTGAGGAAGAGCCAGTTGTGAGTGTGGGGGAAGTTCGTGAGGCAGTAGGTAAAATGAAAGGGGGTAAGGCAGCCGGGATTGATGGGATAAAGATAGAAATGTTAAAAGCAGGTGGGATATGGTTTTGGAGTGGTTGGTGCAATTATTTAATAA